TTTAGGCTCCACAGAAGATCAAGCCAAAGTGTTGATCCTAATAAATGAAGGGGTTTTGTTTGAACTCTGTCTCGAGGCTCGTAAATTAATTACATCATCTCTTGGGAACTTCACAGAGAGCCTAAACTGACTTTTAAAAATCTATCAAGATTTCCAGGTTTCCTGAATCCTGGGCTCTCCGAGCACTCCCCCAATATTTGGGGTGCTTGGGGGGAAAATCAGGCAACCATGGCAGAAGGTGGATTATCGGGAGAAAGCCTGATTTCAACTGGAGGAAGTCAGCCAGCCCCCCCACCCCCATCAGAGCTCCACACTTTCACGCTGTGATGTCTTCTCTAGCAGCAGAAGCAAGAAAGGATGAGTACTTTTGGAAATTAACCCCTAAGGCAGCTGAGGTAGAGTTTAATATTCCCGATGGAATATCAGGACCTCGTAGAAGTATTCAGCAAGGCTGAGTGCAATGTTCTGTCTCCCCACCAGGAGACAGACTATGCCATCAAAACCATCCCCAGGACAAAACTACCCAAGCCCAAACTGTACCCCATGACACCCCGGGAAATGCAAGAGATGCTCAAATACATAGACAAAAACCTAGCAAGGGGGTTCATTGAGCCAGCCAAACCACGGGTTGCAGCACCAGTCCTTCAAAGAAAAAAAGATGGAACTATGAGGTTGTGTGTAGACTTTTGAGGGATAAATGGGGTGTGCTTACACAACCTATACCTGCTACCCCTCATGAAGGACATGCTATCTCATCTAGCCAAGGGAAACGTCTTCACCAAACTAGACCTCAGAGAAGCATATTACCAAGTATGTATCAGAGAGGGAGATGAGTGGAAAACAGTGTTCAACTGCCGCCTAGGGAGCTTTCAATTCAAAGTAATGCCTTTCGGATTGCAGGGAGCCCCAGCGGTATTCATGCAGTTAATAAATGGGGTGCTGCATGAGCACTTCTACAAGGGGGTCCTCGTCTAGCTAGATGACATCCTTATCTACACTGAGACCATGGATGACCACGTACCCCTGGTTCGCCAAGTACTGGAAAAACTTCTGGCAGCCAAAATGTACGTCAAGGTATCAAAATGCAAATTCCACCATGCACGGTTAGACTATCTGGGTTACTGAATGAGGGAATAGAGATGGACCCAGCCAAAGTGCAAGCCGTCCTAAGCTGGCAACCCCTTCACACCCACAGACAGCTACAAAGTTTCCTAGGGTTCGCAAACTCCTACAGGCGATTCATCTTCTCCTTTGCGAAGATTGCCAAACCCCTGACAGACCTCCTGAAGACAGGGAGCCCTGGAACGAAACCTACAGTGTGACCTAACCTGCTAAGAGATATTCAAAACCCTAAAAGAAATGTTTGCAAAGGAGCCGGTGCTGAATCATCCTGACCCCGAACAACCCTTTGTGATCCAGGCAGATGCCAGCGACATGGCAGTGGGAGCAGTGCTACTCCAAATAAATAACCAAGGAAACTTACAACCCTGCACCTACATCTCCCACAAGTTCACAGATACAGAGAGACGTTGGGCCACATGGGAAAATGAGGCTTTTGCAGTGAGATGGGCACTGCTAACCTGGAGACACCTGTTGGAAGGGAGCCAGAAACCGTTCGAAGTCTAGACTGACCACAAAAATCTGGAGGTGCTTTGGACCCCACGGAAACTATCACCGAAACAAGTCTGATGGGCTGAATACTTCACCCATTTTGATTTTGTCTTAAAGCACATTCCAGGCGGGAGGAACTTTCTAGCTGATGCCCTCTCCCACATGCCTCAGTACAAATGTGAATGGGAGCACGTAGTGGACGCCACCATTTCCTCTACTCAAACAGCTGCCTAAGTAACCACGAGGCGGAAACGCCATGACCGGCAAGACCAACCCACAAGCGACCTAACCACGAGACTCAAAACCGAACTGCTAGCAGACCTCTGGTTCCAAAACAACCAACACATCTTGATGAAAAGAGATGACCTTGCATGGAGGGGGATGAAACTCTACATCCCAGAATCCCTATGTACCTTAGTTCTCCAGAGGAGTCACGACGCCAAACTGGCAGGCCACTTTGACTTCCTAAAGACTTTACACTTAGCCCGGAGGCAGTTCTTGTAGCCTGGCATAAAGAAAGATGTGGATAGTTATGTGAAAAGTTGCATCATCTGTGCACAATGAAAAGTCGACTGGGAAACCTCCCCCCCCCCCCCCCGGTCTGCTGCAAACAGTAGCAGAGCCAACGAGGCCATGGGAGGAGATTGGAATGGACTTTATAATAGAATTACCAAAAAATGGGGGAAACACAGTGATTTGGACTGTAATAGACCAGTTCTCCAAACAGGCACACTTCATACCCTGTAGTGGACTACCCTCGGCTCACAAGCTGGCTAAACTGTTCGTTAAGCATATCTACCGACTGCATGAAGTACCTCAAAGAATTATCTCAGACAGAGGGGTCCAGTTCACGGCTACGTTCTTGAGGGAGTTCCTGCGGTCCATTGGGTCATCTCAGGGTCTTAGTTCAGCTTTTCATTCGAGCACTAATGGGGCAGTAGAGAGACTGAACGTCATGATAGAGCAGTACCTGAGGTGCTACATGAACTATCAGCAGTCCAATTGGGCAGACCTTTTATCTTTTGCTCAGGTCGCTTTCAGGAAGCGAGGGGGGCCGGATGTCAACATCTAAAGCATTTCCATGTCTACTATCAACTTTAGAAGGGAGGAGAATTCCATGCATATCTTCGGTCTCATATTTCTACAATCTAGTTGGAGAATATGATTTATGATGCAGGACAGAAGGGGGGAGTTTGGAGGGTAAAGTTCAAATACAATTAAGCGAAAGTCAGTTTAGACTCCACAGAAGTAATGCTAAGATGTTGATCCTAATAAATGAAGGGGTTTGTTTGAACTCTGTCTCGAGGCTCATAAATTAATTAGGTCAACTCTTGGGAACTTCACAAAACATACCTGCTTGCATTGGAAGTTTTCATTTTTAAGGCTGATGGATAAATTTCTGCTGCATAAATGCATAGGCTCAAGGCAAATTATCTTAGACTAGTTTTGTTTCAAGTTACTATTCTCTGGAAAAAAATAATGTTTTTCTGGTTAGTGGATATTAATTTATGCACCCTTACTTGAGAGTTTCTATCTAGATTAAAACAACAAATGGATGGCACACAGTTATTTGGGAATAAGTCATTGGATAGGATATAACTATTTTATGCCTATCTGTTCTGCTCAATGTTCAATGAGCCTTACATATTAATGTTCAAGGATACTTAACGTAGATATATATTAGAGTCAGACTAAATGGCTCTTAATTAGTTAACTTCTGTTTCAGATGGAGCTAAAATAAATTTAGTGGTATTGATGTAAATTCCAGGTATCATTTTAAGTGAACTTGTGCTTATTTTTTATAACAAATGCAGAAGAGTATTTGCTTAGCTTTGCTATATAGAATATTTGCAAAACATAGTGATAATAGAAAAGTGAAAAAAATCAATACACTATAATTTGCCCCTAGATTCATGTTAGACATAAGTATCTCCAGTTCTGATTATCTGTTGTTTGTCTGTTTCTTTGTAGATCATGCAGACTGACATACATATGAGCGAATGGCAAAGGAATTATTTTATTGTTACCTCTGATACTTCTACACCAGGACAAAAAGCAGATGCATATCGTTCACAAATTTTACATATTCAGCATGCATGGGCAAACTCAGATATTTCCCAGAATTGTGCTGCTAACCTTTTCAAAACATTTGTAGAAAAATATTCTGAAATTATTGATTCTGATAATGTAGAAAGAGGCTTGAATAACTATGCTAAAGATATTTTAACTATGGTAAAGTATCAGCAGAATGAGAGTGACAAGTGGCAGTCTGCTTTGACACCAAATAATGTAATGGAATTGAAGTGTATTCAAGCAATGATGCGGGCTGGAAAAATGTTTGAGATGCCTCTGAAGGCGCAAATAGATATATCCATTGATAAACAGGTCACTGAGTCTGTTTCTTCAAATGTTCCCAATCATACTCTATCAAGTGGTCATGGAGAATCTGTGGTTGGAGCTGGTTTGTCAAATTATGTAACTCAAGCAACAGAGATTTGTGAGAAGCCATCAACTTCAAAGTGTTATCGAAATGATATATTCTCTCCTAAAGCAGGAGTTACATGTTCTGTTTTGCCTGTGACTATGAATGATGTGTCTTCTAGAGCCCTCACTGGAAGTAACGAATCAGCATTTAATAGTTCTCTGAAATCCACAAGTAATGCTTGTTCAGGGCAAGATTTATCTTCTGCTCCATCTGCTTTCTCTGCAAGAATGGGCAATCTGGGAAAAAGGAAGACATTTGCTGTGTCCAGTGAAGATAACAGTAATATATCTTCTGGTTCCACTCATAAGTTAGTTCCTAGAGAAGGGTCAAACATCCCATGGAATGAAAAGAAAAATAATGAAAACAAAGCATCTGGTTTCAAAACTGCAAAAGAGCAGCTGTGGGTTGATCAGCAAAAGAAATTCCAAAATCATCCCCAGCACATCCCATTACCATCTTACGGGGGTACAAAGAAATCTTTGGGAGCTGGAAGATCCCGTGGTCCATTTGGAAAGTTTGTTCCTCCACTGCCCAAACAAGATGGAAATGGGAACACAGGAATGCCAGTTAAGTCAAATGGGACTGGATCTACAGAGCTGACTTATCCAATAGATGAAAGGTTAAAGAATATAGAACCTAAAATGATAGAACTTATAATGCATGAAATCATGGACCATGGGCCTCCAGTAAACTGGGATGACATAGCTGGAGTTGAGTTTGCAAAAACAACTATCAAGGAAATAGTCGTATGGCCTATGCTGAGACCTGACATTTTCACTGGATTACGAGGGCCTCCAAAAGGAATTCTTCTCTTTGGGCCTCCTGGTACAGGGAAGACTCTTATTGGCAAATGCATTGCCTGCCAGTCTGGGGCTACATTTTTCAGCATCAGTGCATCTTCACTGACTTCCAAGTGGGTTGGTGAAGGAGAAAAGATGGTCCGTGCATTGTTTACAGTGGCACGCTTCCAGCAACCAGCTGTAATTTTCATTGATGAAATTGATTCTCTCTTATCCCAGCGTGGAGATGGAGAACATGAATCTTCCAGAAGAATAAAAACTGAATTCTTAGTCCAGTTAGATGGAGTAGCTACTTCTTCTGAAGATCGCATATTAGTTGTAGGTGCAACCAACCGACCGCAAGAGATTGATGAGGCTGCCCGAAGGAGATTGGTGAAGAGGCTCTACATTCCACTTCCTGAGGCTTCTGCCAGAAAGCAGATTGTGTCTTGTCTAATGTCAAAGGAACATTGCTCCCTAACTGAAGAAGAAATTGATCTCATTGTTAAGAAATCAGATGGTTTTTCTGGGGCTGACATGACCCAGCTTTGCCGAGAGGCTTCTCTGGGTCCTATCCGCAGCCTTCAGACCCTTGACATTACAACTGTTAGACCTGAACAAGTACGATCTATAGCTTTTCAAGATTTTGAAAGTGCTTTCAAAACTGTTCGACCCAGTGTGTCTTCTACAGATTTAGAATTATACGAAACTTGGAATCAAATGTTTGGGAGTGGAAGATGAGAAGAATTGATTTGTTTGCATATTCAGTTCTGAAATAGTAACCATGATCTAATAAATTTGAGAAAACTATTATCTTTTCCTAGAGAATTGTTTTGCATGAAAATCTTTATTTTTGCTAGTAGAAAAGTAGTAGAATTCTATAAAAATTCACCATATTGCTCTTTTGTGCCTTGCTATATTTTTATATGCACCTAACATTAAAAAAAATGTTAATAAGATGCATTATTAACTTTAATGCCCCCTCACCAACTCCTTTTCATCAAAGGAGTCCAGGAATTCTTTATAAAATTTAGCTTACATCCAGACATAAAGTTATGCAAAAATTTCAGTGCTAAATTATTGGGGTGAGAAGTGGAAGTGCTTAAAGTGGATGTAAATTTAATAGGTAGATGTAGGCACATTGGATGTGTTTGCCGCCTTAAGTTATTTGTAAAAATTATATAGGTGGAATACAAATAAATAAAAATAAATAAATAAAACTTACTTCCAGAAACTGTTATTCCTGATTATAATACGAGAATAAATGATCACTGAAACTTTTAGGGAAATATTGTATTAAACTTTTTATATATATGACATACTTTGTCAAATTACAGATAGTCCTGAACTTATGACCAAAATTGAGCTCAACATTTCTGTTCCTATGCTAGATATTTGTTAAGTGAGATTTGTCCCATTTTACAACCTTTCTTGCAACAGTTGTTAAGTGAAACTTCAATTGTTAAGTTTATAACATGGCTGTTAATTGAATCTCATTCCCCATCTCAGTTTAATCTATTTTTCCTTAGAAATACTGTATATATTATGATATAGAAACTGACTGATAGTTTATTATATCCTAGGGATCTGTTGCCTAAAGTGCCTTGACAACATGTATATTGGAGTTGTACTATATAAGTAACTCATTCAAGTAACGCCAACAAAAATTTGAAAATGAAGCCCACAGCCAATTGAAAAGAAATGCCAAGGAAAATCTCTAAATTTTTCCTGAATTCAAAGAAAAAGTCAGAATTGAAATGATCAATATCCTATTGCAGTAACTACAGAACAAGCCTCTTTCTTGGTGTGAAAGTGTTGGCTTTCAAGAGAACTGGAATGACCCCACAATTTTTAGGCAATGCCTTTTACTTTGTCATTTTTGTATGTTTTGTGACAACTTATTTGAAGCATCACACAAATTTGTGAAATTCCAGGTCTCATGTGGTTAGTTTTTGGTGACATATCCATAAAGGTCTGCCAGTGTTGCTAATTAATAAATTGCATGTATGAATTTTCTTTAAATTCACACGTGCAGTTTCATCAGGTGACTTCAGGTGGATCTCTTGTTAATAATGAAAACTGATGCTCCTTCCATCTCCATTTTAGAGAATAATCTCAGAGGCATTTAAAAAGATGGAAATGATTTTAGACCAAGTGCCCCAAATAATCACATGACTATTTAATCCAGATCTGGAATCCTTTTTGCTGAAAGACATTTCATTTTAAATTAGATCACTTAAAGGATGGGATCTCTTAAATTAAAGGACAATACCATGACTACATGAAAACATAATTTAAAGAAAATAAAGAAACAGATAATTTAACCTAACCAGCTGTGGGATTCACTTACCTTCCCTACCAGTTCGCAAATGTGAGTGCACGAGCCTTGTCTGCACATGCACACCACCTTCTGCACTTGCACAGTGCTCATGCATTACGTCAGGGTGGGTGGAGCCTCCCACAGCGGCTGCTGCTGGTTCGCCTCAACCGGAGAGAACCAGCTGAATACCACCTCTGAACCTAACTATCCGATTCAGTTTTTGTAGCTGAGCTGTTAAGAGCTATTCCTCTTAAAGAGTCTCATGCGGCATTTGCATGCCATTTTTCAATGTAAACAATATATGTACATTTGCCTGTGGATTGACTCCTTATAAAAACTTTAAAAGCAGAGTTTGTATTTTGAAGCTACTGGCAACTTTTAGGCTTATCAGCACTGGAAAAAATAATCACATTCAGTAATTCTAGTTTACACATGCCAGAAAAACTACAGTCTTAGAAGGGCAAGTCCTGGCAATATTCAATGAGTTGCCCTCTAAAAATCATTGCTTGTACTGCCAATTTAAGAGCTTTAGTCACAATTCACACCCTTTGCCATCGCAAGATTTAGATAAAGATTTACCCAATAGCAAAAAGGGCTGGGGCTGTTCATGATTCCATCAATCGCTTTGTGACTTTTCAATCTTTTATTTGTGTATTACAACTGCACCCTATTTACAAAACTTTTCTTGTGTTCTCTCTCTCTTCTACTGTATAGTTCTCAAACCATTTATAGTTCTTAAACCATGGTCATATTCATTATTTAAATATATTACATTAATAATTTTATTATTTGTTATGCGAGAACACCTGCCCATCATAGAGAGAAATTTCTGTGGCAAGCAGAATTTACTCAGTCTACCTTGAAGCTGATAAAATTGTGTAGGATTTACCAGAAAAGTTGCAACCTGAAGGAGGGCTTTCATGTCCGAGGAGACATTAAAAACATTCTCAGCTCTTTTTCTAGAAATCAGGAGGATTGTTGAATGAGAGGAAGAAGAATCTTAAACACTGCACTTAGAAAACTGCTGGGCTTTAGCAAGACAGGTTACTAACTTTCTGTCCAGAATAAGCAATTTAAACTTCAATGTGGCTTCCCATGATGCAAATATGTTGGTCACTTATTCATACTTGCATGTTACACTGCTTATAAAGAGTGAGTCTGAGGGAAAATCATTGCAAACTGCTCAGAAGAGAAGGTGCCTTAGGCTAGAGCCAATAGCTAATCATAAGTGTTTGTATGTTTTTGCAACTTGGCATAGTTCTCTTGGAAAGTGCACCTGGAGTTCTGTAAACTAACAAGATGAAAGGGTTAACAATGTGCTAACAAAACACATGAGACCCATATACCTATGATGAACAATTAATTAAACTAATTCATCTTGTGACAGGATATTTGTTCAATGGAATGATAAACATGTTTTTCAGAGATAAGCTTTTCTCAGGGGCTATGCGATAAGCTATTGAGGTTAGTTCCACTCAAGAGTGTAGCAGGTACTCTTTTTACTGCATTGCCTACTGCAACAATGTCCCTCAAGCAACAACTTATGAAGATCCCCAGGCTTGGAACAACAATTTTGCTGAGTTGTAGGAAAGGCTGAGTACAGCCTTTATGAAAACAAACATCTTGGTCTTTTTTTGGATCACATTACTTGGAAGTGCAAGTAGATAATAAGTCTGAATCAGTCTTAACAGAAGAGTCCCAGTAGCACTGATGATGTTGCCTAGTTAGGGTAATGAAATGTCTGCAAGAAAACAATCAAGATCAGAGAGCATTGAGGACCCTTCATATCAATCTTGAGCTACAAATATTCTCCTTTATTGGAACCTTATTTGCATTTGTAATATTCTATTGCTAATGCTATACAATTAAAGGAATATTTTTTAACATGACCCATGCATTACCCATTATCTAAAGAAACACAGTCCATTGTGTTAAAACTGGTTTCTTATGCAATATAGATTACTTCAATCTCATTCACATATGTATCAAGAGGTGGTTGGATGTGTCAAGAATGCAGAATGATTCAGACTTATCTACTTGCAGCTCTCAAGTAATATGATCCAAAAAAGGCCACGTTTGGTTTTATAAATGTTGCACTCAACCATTTCTATAACTCAGCCAGAATGTTTTATGCAGATATTTCATTACCAAACTTAGATAACATCATCAGTGCTAGCAGAAACATCTGCAAGGAAACAACCAGGCTCAGATAGCACTAAGGACACCTCACACATAAGGTTATCATGTTTGGGAGAAATAGTATTTTTTTCTTTTTGTTTATTTAGAAAAATGGAACATTAAAACTGCACTTCTCTTTCATCTATTCTCTGAGAAACCTGTGGAAAATAGCACTAGCAATAGAAGGAAAGAAAGAAGGAAAGAAGGAAGTTCAGAATTTCAGTAGTTGTACAGGAAAATCCATTCTTGATGCACAACACTATACCAGCTCCTTTTTTGTTTTGCTTCAGTAGCACGGTATATAACATAATTTGTACAAGATCTTTGAAACGGTATATATTCATTAAAACCAGTGATCTACTGATGGAATTTATCATATCAGTTCTGTGATTCCTGTAATATACTTGCCTTGTATCTCATGACATCCATCTTGCTTCTAATCCATTTTTTGCAAATACTTTTAACATAAGAAAACTATTCCCTGTGTTCAGTACCACTTTCCTGTGTATATTTATCCTTTGCTCCTTTCTTAAACTAGTAGTTTATAAAACAATTTGCTTTGCTGCTGTACTAATCCATCACTTGCTAATTTTTATTTCTCAATGAACTTTTTATACCCCACCATATTCTAGTTTAAAATCCTCCTGATCTGATGAATCAATTGTCATCCAAAGATTTATGTATCCTTCTTAATGCTGAATTTCATATTTGTAGTTTAGTTCCACCACCTTGAACATGAAATTTGCATCACTGTTGAAAAACCCAAACTCTTATTTTGTACAAATACTGTAATCAAGATTTCACTTGAAGTCTGTTGCTAAATGTTTTCCTTCTTCCAAACCCTGAAATTACTTGATGAGCTAAAAGTTATGTCTTGTAGAATAATTAGTATCCATATTGATTAGTTGATATGGATTTTATTCTCCCATGATTTGTGTAACAACCATAGTGGTTAAGATTCTAGATCTGGGTGAGGGAAACTCAGTTTCCAGTTTCAAGGCAAATTCAGAAATCTTTTGCAATTCAGAGAAACTTTAGGCCAGAGGAAATATTTTGCATAATTAGGACATAAAATAAATTATGTATTGTATGGTGAGAGAATAATAATAATATTTGCTAATCTTTGGAACAGATCTATGTGAGTCGTTATGAAAATAGAGTTCTATGGAGAGGATGGTAGAAATGGATGTAGTGTAGAAAATAAAAGGTCTTTAAGCCAACCTTGCACATATTTAAATGATACCTTGTTCATTTTTTCTATAGAGAAAAATATACAACTGATTACTAGAAAACAATCAATTTCTGTTTTCTT